TTTGACTTCATCCCATCTCTTCAGGGACTGAGCATTGGTACGACATTTAGCTAGTTCCGCAATTGTCGAAGTCATCAGGCCGTAGGTGCCACTGGGTCCTAAAATTCTTAGTCCAGCCGCTTCCTTGGCTAAAGAGTCGGCAACGCGATTACCTTCACTCCTGTCGTGCCCTTCAATCCACCTCAGGATAATGCTATTGTCTACCGAGGCTTTGGCTAAATCTTGGTGGCACTCTAGTACTAGCCCCGAATAGGGCTACCTCGGAGGATAATGTGACAAAAATCCACGATCGCGTATTTGAAGGATGCGCAAGATAACTGTGACAGAAGGCATCTCACGTGTGTTATATCCTGCATGAGATTTTGAGCATGAGAAAGCTGTCGGCGTGATGAGTGCCACGTTTGCTCACTCCGGAGAAGCGTAACAGTGGGACCATTTCAGGGCAGTGTTTGACGATTTTCAAACGCAATCTGGATGAGTTTTTATGTCGTTTAGTGACTGTCGACGAAACATGGATCGACTGGTACACACCAGAGACCAAGGAAAAGTCAAAATAGTGGACTCGGCGACCTTGCTCCTATACTATGCCAAATTATTGGGCCGATACGACTCAGAAAACAGTCCCATTTGACTAAGAAAAAAGTTTTCTTGTCGCCATGACCAAATTAGTCGAATTAGGCTGCGAACTGTTGCCTCATCCACCGTTTTCTCCAGATTCAACACCGTGGAGCATTGCTAGGTCAAGTGTATCGAGCTAAAGAAAGGACTATACTGAAAAATTGAATTGCCACTTTTCCAAATTTTTTGTTTTTGTTTTGTAGGCTAAGTACTTATCGAACCGCCCTCTTATATGGCAGTACAGTCTACGCTCAAACGAATATCTCATCTTCAAGAATACCTAATTGTGGATCACTCTACAATCAGTAGTTTTTATTCTTCATTTTTTCTTTCTTTTCATGTCTACTGCATCAACCCCGAATTCTGAGTACGTTGGGTTAATAACACCCCAAACTATTAAAATGGGAGAAAACGTAGATGGTGGCGAATAAAAATTCAACGGTCCCAATAGTATGTTGCAGTTTTTCACAAGAAATGAAACAAAACTCTGAAACTTGAATATTTGCTGCAAATATCCTGTTTTCCTTCATGACTCACTTTATTGAACAACTTCATTGCTTATCTCTTCTAACTTCACTATTTCATGCGAATACATTTCGAACTTCTCAGTATTACAATTTCAGTATTTCACTTTCATCTGCACAGGAATGAACTGACTTCCTATCGCTGCTGCTCTCATAACTTGATGTGAATTAACTGAAGTATCAAAATAATATTTAAAGTATCCACCACTATCAATTTCCTAGCTGCTAGTAAAATCAACATTTTGGGAAAATAATCTGTGACCCTGAAGCGATGTTCCAATTTCTCATCACTATAAATTCTTCAACTACCTATATATCAAATTTTTACTTCACATTTCACTTTGTTACAATGTGAATCAATGAGAGCGTTCATACGCCACACTTCGAAATATTTACGTTAACCATTTACCGTTTATATACATTGTGAAAACTTTCGTTAAGTGAGAGATAAATTGAAAGTAAAAGTTTGGTGTATAAATTCACCACAATAAACTGAAGATTCCTAACTTTACTCTCAAGAATTACTGTTTAAAGTGATGATGTGACACTGCAAAGATTTTTCATTATTTCATTAGATGATTTGTTCTTTGAAAAAATACTCAAATAGTTATACAGGGTGTTCCTTAAACACATGCTAGGAAGTAATTCTTAGACCCATTTTAAGAAAAAAAACTTCCTATGGACGTATGTCCTAAACGATTTAACTTTTGAGATACAGGGTGGCAAAGTTTTCAAAAATAATCAGTTTTTTAATAATACCTGAGATAATTTTGTAGACATCTTTGGCATATTTGGTACATATGTTCCAATCACAATCACTGTTTCTGGAAAAAATGAGAATGAATTATCGATGAAAATTAATTTAGTTATTGACGAATTCAGTAGTTGCTGTGTTGTAATTTAGTCACTTTGAATGACATAAAAATATCAACTATTTCAGATGAGAATCTCACCTGGAGAAGTCACATACAAAAAGTGTGCAGTAAACTCAATTCCGCTTATTATTCGATCAAACAGTTGAAACATTGTTTAGATATTATAGGCGTAGATAGAGAATTTTCAACAGGCAATGAATGGTTTAAATACATTACACCTTTGACCATGCGTGGCATGAGGGTTTGCTGACCAAACTTCGATGCTATGGTTTTTCGGGTCACTTTTGTGTATGGCTCTGCAGCTTCCTGAAAGAACGTTCCCTCCAGGTGGCCGTCGATGAATATCTCTCGAGTACTTTCACTATCAACGCAAATGTGTCCCAGGGATTCATATGGTCTCCAACCCTCTTTTTATTGTATATGACCGACTTATTGAAAAAAAAACAAGAATCCAATATATTGCTTTGCTAACGACATTTCACTTGGATTCCAGGACATCGGCTACGAAGGCTCCAGTACCGGCAGCAGGAGGTTGCATATCTTAATAAGGATCTAGAAGTGATTTCGAATTGAGGTGAAAGTAACCAGGTTCAATTGAATTCCATAAAAACCCAGGCATCGGTTTTCTCCAAGAAGATAAATGTCTCCGAACCGGATATAATAATTTCAGGTCAGACAATTCCGCTTTCTGCTTCGATAAGTATTTTGGGGGTTAAAATGGACACCAACATGTCTAGGCACAATCATGTCGCTGGAATTGCAAAGGCTGCTTCTCACAATCTTGGAACACTGTTCCGAACCAGAAAACTGTACACACCTCAGCAACTTTTGATGCTTTATAAAGCTCAGATCAGACCTTCTTTGGAGTATTGTTCTCATATATGGAGCTCTGCCCCCAAACATACCCTGAAGTTGCTGGATTCCAACCAGAAAATAGTCATCTGCCTGATTGAAGACGCAAACATCACTTGCAACCTTGACAGTCTGGAACATGGAAGAAAGGTTCTATAGATATAGTAGAGGTCCCCCGGATTGAGCGAAACAGACGGCAGGTGGTGACGTCATCACACCAGCCAGGTTGCTTCTCAGCTTGCAAGGCAGACAGACCATCCAGTCAACCAAATTATCACGTGGTGTCCTGTGACCCAGCGGTGAACCAATCAGAGTGTACCAAATTGTCACGTTGCGTCCTCAAACTGTCACCTAACTCGCCATTCAATCAGAGCACACACTTTTGCATCTCAGAACATTGTGGCGGGAGATTTGAATCTTCTGTGGAATAAATAATTCAGCACAACTTTTCGCTCAACACATTTTTGTTTCGTGACGTCAAAAAAAAAGTTTATAGTTTTGAGAATCGAACCCAGGACGTCCGCGTGGTAGACATGGTCCTTAGCCTCCACACCAACGTAAGATATTAAAAGAAACTGCGAATGATGGGTATTTACAGCGTAAGTTTTGTCGGGACCGAAATTGACTGATTTTATATACTTGACCTTATTTTTTTTAATTTCCGTAGAATGTTAGGGAAGGTGTAATCGTCATTATCATGTTGAAGGTAGGAAAATATAGGTACGTAGATTTGGGAAAGAATTAATATTTCATATAAAGATTTGTATGAGTGTATAAGAGCGAGAGACGCGTGTTACGTAATCGAGGCAAAGAGAGATGGAGATGGTATCGATGTTTCACGTTCCTAGCGCAGCAGATGTTGTCGGTTGTAAAATAAATCGTTGTTTATGAGGCAATGTAGCGTTGCCGGTTTTAAAATTAAGCGTGAACGCCTCGATGAAAATTGGAAGAGCGTGATAGCAACGCGGTTGAATTATGAAAATAATAATGAATGTTCAAGTGACTTGGCACGTTTGATTCCACCAAGAGCAGTACCTATCAGAAATACGCGGCGGACTGTGGGGCTGTTCATCGTTTCGAGGTGCTCAATACACGTAGAACTCTTCCATTCGGAGAATAGCGTTAATGTGGAATAAACTTCCTGAGAACATTTTTCCAAATGGATTTAATCTCCAGGGATTTAAATCCAATGTGAATCACTACTTTCGCACAGACACCACTCTGGGAGCGCCTGAAGGATTTTCATGTAGGTCTTGTGTTTTGTCCTTAAAAAAAAATGGTTTTATCGAGTAGTACTTTATGAAAATACAAGAGAACTCAAAGAAACCGAATAGTTTTTTTACAATGTATTTCATATAGTTCTGTGGAAATTAATCATACCTGGTTGCCACTGCTGAGTTGGGACGTTGAGAAAGGAAATATGAACCGCTTTGTTCATTTTTCTGATTGTGATAGTCTGAATACCCAAAAAACTGCAAGAAACATTTATATACAACAATAATATACTATATTGACATACGTTGGCATGATATTGAAAAACTGCATAAACATAATACTATCTTATCAAATAATTGTGACATAGTATCATTATGCCACAAGTATGAGGTTTTGAAATTGATATGTTGAACAATCATTATTCGAAAATAATAACGATATATCAATAATACTTTCATTTCAAAAGTTTCAGAACTATGCACACAGTTATTGAACTTGAACTATACCCACTATCTAACAATTATTTTTCTCTTCCAGGTGCTGTCGGCTTGTGGACCCATAAGTGTTTCTTTTTTTACAGTTGTAGTATTTTTTGGCTCTTTTTATCTCATCAATTTGATGTTGGCTGTGGTAGCACTTAGTTATGAAGAAGAAGCAGAAATAACTCAAGAGGTGAGCTATAGAAATTCAGATTGTGATAGACTGAATACGCAAACAACTGCAAGAAACATTTATATATATACAACAGTCATATACTATATCGACATGGGTTGGCATAATATTGAAAACCTGCATAAACAAACTACTATCTTGTCAAATCATTGTGACATAGTTTCATTATGACACAAGTTTGAGGTTTTGAAAATGATATGTCAAACAATCATTATTCGAAAATAATATCGATATATCAATATTCATTTCAAAAGTTTGAGGACTATGCACACAGTTATTGAATTTGAACCATACCCACTATCTAACAATTATTTTTCTCTTTCAGGTGCTGTCGGCTTGTGGACCCATAAGTGTTTCTTTTTTTACAGTTGTAGTATTTTTTGGCTCTTTTTATCTCATCAACCTGATGTTGGCTGTGGTAGCACTTAGTTATGAAGAAGAAGCAGAAATAACTCAAGAGGTGAGCTATAGAAAATATTTTTCAAAACAATTATTTTTGAAGTTGATAATTATGGAAGTGATGAAATGGATCTCAATATTTCAATTCCGAAAATTCATTTTTTTTGTTCAAATAATGCGTAGTTCGATTCTTGGTATATTGACACCATTGCATGGTGAGTTTAGATACAATACTTAATCGTGACAGTAAACAGTCTGGCAACAACGCTCAAATAATCCTTTGATGTTAGTCTGCTTGTCAATCGACATCTATTCAGATAATTTGCTGTCAGAAACAATGTGATCCCTAAACTATCTGATTTTTTCAGTAAAATTGAATAGTCGAATGCTTTACGTAAATTCAGTAAAAGAACCATACATTTTGGATCATCAATTTTTGTTATCTGTAAGATAAGACGTCTTGGGTTGCTCTCTCTGAAATTCATAGTCGTAGAATATTTTTGAAGTCAGGGAAACATGAAACTGATCTATAAATATTCATATCGAATTTTGTACCATTTTTGTAAACAGTTGTTATCGGCGATTTTCATTTTATCCGGTACTAAGGATTGAAAATTTCATATTTAAGAACTTATATGATTTTCACATCGACTGCGTCGACAGTATAAACTTACCTCGGGTTCAATTCCTCAATTATCTTCAAAACTTTTTAAACTTGCTGGTGTGAGTAACACTGATGAATCCATTTTTTTTTCAGGAAAATCTTGATGATCTGGGGAATAGTTGAAACAAGTTTTTGTTCAGTATATTTGAAGTTGATTTTATAGATTGTTTCTCATTACTCTCATTGATAAGTAATTGGTTTATTGTGTTACAGTTTCAAAATCACTACCTCAATTGGTAGTAAACCCCCAGATTTTATAATGGAGAAAGGGAACGTCTATAAAATTTCACATAGTTTATAGTTTACTTTGGATACAACAAAAACATTTCATTTCGTATTACGATCTATTATGACCCTGTATATGCCAGGAATGTGAAATGAGTCCTATCTTTGCTGGAATCGGCATATTCACAAAGTTCATTAATGAGATACCGTTTTTTTTCAAATAATTCATCTTGGTTTTGGACCAAACACAGGAAGGACATCGCGATTTTGAAAGAATGTTTCAAAGTATTCCTGAGTAGAAAATTGATTTATCTCAAGGGAGATAATCAATTATCAACTGTCGAAGGATTTATGTTGGAATTACTCGAAATGTTTCAATTGAAGTTTACCTTGTCGAAGAACTCGGACATCTCAAAGACTACACTCCTTCCCAGGCCTTTATTTTCCATTTGCCTGTTCGTTGCTAACTGATAACACCCTTAAAGTCTCCCCAACTTTGAGAATAGCTGTTGGCGAATCTCCACAATCTTCGTTATAATTTTCATTTGTGAAAAAAATAACTGTTTTTCTTCATATTTGACCGACGTTTCTTTCTTCTTTCTTTATACCCACTCCCGTCTCCACTGTTGAAATGCTGGTTGGGCATTTAAGGAGGTAATAATTGTCTTCCATTCATCTTCACTTGTTGCATTTTGTAGCGTTCCTTATAACATTCTATTTCAAAGTTCTTATAGTTTTCTTGACGAACACATTTCAATGTTGATACAATTCACTAAAATCTATATTGTCGGGAGGTTCTTTTCTTTTCCTAATATATTTATCACGTCTTTTCATTAGCTTTTGACGGTTTTTCGAAAACTAATAAGATAGAGTTTGTTTAATTTGAAGAACTGTTCTTCCTCTTGAGACATGTTTCTGTTAATACAGAATTTTCATCTTTCATTTTTGATAACCTCAAGACCATCTAGTTTTCTCCTGATTGATCTTGCATTTAGATTTGTGCCATTGAACATTATTTTACCAGGACCTTCCAAATTCTAAGAAATTATAGATTGATCCTTTTCGTCAACACTGCCCAGTCCATTATTCCTTCCCATTATTCTACAAGTACTATTTTGACAGTATTTCCTGCTGGGTAGAGATGAACAGAAAATCTACCTCTATCAAATGACCTAGTGGAGAAATATCAACATTCACCTTGAACATGGCATGGTGTCATAATTCCTACAAATGAGACAAACCATCAAAAGAGCTTCTTGCCGCCCTTTGAAGTTTCTTATTGTTCTGTTCTCCCCCAATGTGACCCCGTTTGCATAATTCACACGGAGCTTTGAGGAGACAAATACCGTAATAATAGGGTACAAGAAAAGGCATAGCTGATGCTTGTTTGTTCGAGGATTATACCTGTGGGAAATAAATGGACAAAGTCACGGAGTTTGTCATTTTCAAAGTGCGGGGTGTTTTGTTGTTGAAGGGTGGAAGTATCCAAAACTGAGAGGGAATTGAGGCCCGTAACGAAAACAATACTCTTTCCTGAGTGTGAGTTACAAATATACCGATATAATTGTATGGTCCTCATTCAGTAGTTGACAATATATAAGAATAGTTTGACTAATAGGCTGGAGAGTTCAACATGAAGTGGAATCAGATACCTTTTTTTAGTCATTGAAATTTCACCTCATCTGAATTCTATGAAAGGTTGAGTTTTCGACAGAAATAACCAGCCTGAACATCTTTCTGGAATGGTAGATAAGTCTCCCAAAATTGTGACAGAAAATACTAACCCTCGATTATCTTTGAGAATGGTTTGATGTTGCTGTTTTGAGAATATATACGAATCAAAGAGTTGGTTAGCATAAACCACCCTCCAGTAGCGAAATAAATTCTCAATCGGCAGCATGTATGCTGATTTTGGTGATGAGTGATAATAAACTGTCATTCACTATCTGTCGAAAAAATCAAAAATGATATTTTTCACCAAACTTCATGTACTCATCTCATATTTCAACTAGAACTCAACTGGGTTATTTGCTATTTTTAGCAAATTACACTGTTATGTAGTAATCAGTTGCTATTTACTTCTTCGAAAATAATATGTGACGCTGTTTAGTTTTATATTATATCAATATTACTAATCTGTTGACGGTTAGTCAAAAATCAAAACTTCTTCACTAAAATAATGTTTTTGCAAACCTGTTCTGAATTAATTTTTATTGGTCAGTCAAAAATAAAGTTTATGTTATCAAATCCCATCAATTTTACTTACCACTGTCCTGAAACATAAAAAATTAAAAAGAAGCATTTCTCATCTTATAAATTATACATATAGTCAGTGGGCATACTGGCTATGAATCAAATCATCTAAAGGAACAATTTGTTCAGGCCAGTCTCAACTCCCTACACTGTGGGTTAATTCACTGACACCTATCAGAAAACAACTACTCCCCTGGCTCATACCACGAAGGGCGTTGGATTATATCCGACAGGTGTCAGTGCAGGATTCTTTACTGAATGTATTCCTGCATATACTGTTGGTGATATAATTGCCACAATAGATTTTCAATTATTGGAATACACTTGCACACCGGTTTCGGGCTGTTCGGCCACTCGTCAGTGAAAGGTAGTGTAGTCAATATAAAGTCGATTATTTCCGATGATTGAAATTCGAATTCCTTCAGAGTATCATTCCTCCAACTAGGCTGAAGCGGACAACAAACAACAGATTTGTCACCGCCCCATCTGCCTGTGAACGAGATAACCAACCACATATTCGAAATTTGCCCAATTCCTCATATAAGAAAAAAACCTTCACATATAATAATAAAAAAGTGTACTTTACAAGTTGTAATGCTTGAAATGAAATTACTTGGGTATATACTAAATAGTACGGGGCCAAGTATAGACCTTTGTGGAACTCCACAAGTGACCTTTTGTCTTGCTGGCTGACCCACAGCTGTCTCCACCTATTGACTCCTGTCCTGTAGATAATTACACATAAGACTAATAGCATTGTCCGAAAAACCTATAAAGTGTAAAATAGAGAGTGAAATTTTGTAGTTTATCGTATCAAATTTGTAGTCAGTGGGTATACTTGAAGACTGTAAGTTAATGAACTGACACCTATCAGAAAATAACTACTCACCTGGCTAATGCCACGAAGGGTGTTGGATCATATCAGGTGTCAGAGCAGGATTCTTCACCAAAGTTATTCCTGCATATGCTGTTGGCGATACAACTGCCGCAATAGATTTTCAATTATTGGAACACAATTGCAGACCGGTTTCGGGCTGTTTAGCCACTCGTCAGTGCATCATCATGAAGTCGATGATTTCCGATAATTGAAAATCGAATTTCTTCAGAGTATCATTCCTCCAACTAGGCTGAAACGGACAACAAACAACAGATTTGTCTTCGCCCCATATGCCTGTGAACGAGGAACACCTGGCCTGAACAAATTGTTCCTTTGATTTATAGCCAGTCTTCAAATATGCCCACTGACTATATGTGAAGTTTTTTGCTTATACGAGGAATTGGACAAACTTCGGATATGCGGTTGGTTACAGATGCAGATGGGGCGATGACAAATATGTTGTTTTTTGTTCGCTTCAGCCTAGTTCGAGAAATGATACTCTGAAGAAATTCGATTTTCAATTATCGGAAATCATCAACTTTATGTTGATGATTGACACTACATTGCACTGACGAGTGGCCAAACAGCTCGAAACCGGTCTGCAAGTGTATTCCAATAATTGAAAATCTATTGCGGCACTTGTATCGCCAACAGCATATGCAGGAATAACTTCAGTGAAGAATCCTGCACTGACACCTGTCGGATATAATGCAACGCCCTTCGGGATATTAGCCAGGGGAGTAGTTGTTTTCTGATAGGTGTCATTCTTTTAACCTAAGTGTAGGGAGTGGAGACTGGTCTGAACAAATTGTTCCTTCAGATGATTTGCCTTATGAATTTGACCAACTTTGCATTCATTTTAGTTATATTTTGTAACGCTGGTATCAGAACTGATAGAAAAGTACCTGATGGAAGTGTCATTCAGTTTCGTAACAATAGACTACTAGAATGTCTAACTTTTCTCGCCCGAATAACAAAAACACTCGTCCTTTCATCACAACCAAAATACATCTTAACTTGCTTTTAGAAACAAAATTTTATTCACTGCAAAACTTACTCAATAACAGATTTTACGTCGCCTCAAAATGCTTCTGATTCCGCTTGTCGTCATTTATAAACTGGTGTCGGATTTTATATAATCACGTCAGATATTTTGAAGGGACTGTGAAAACAATTTTTTGTTGATTCAATTCACAAATTTGAGAAAACAGTGTATATAAAGAGTATTCAACCTTCCCAATTGAATGTGGTATATTTTTTTTGGGTATTGCTACTGAGCAAAATACATTCATTCAACTGGCAACATGAAGAGATGCCTCTGTCATTTGCATTCGTGAGTTAACATACGAAATATACCGTCAGTGTTGAATGAACTCGCTATGTAGATTTCCAATCGATGTACAAATTTCTGACCAATATTAGCTCTGCCATCGCATCTATGAGCGAAAACTCCTCCTTTATTGTCCACTTTACTACCTCTCGAGAATAAAAACGTTGAGGCACGTATTGAAATTGTTACCAAACATCACAACAATGAAACAGAATTATTCATTCAGTATAAGTCGATGAACTATGATATACAATATTTTGCTTCTGAAAAATTGATATTTTTATGATCTTTCAGTGAAAACAGTGCAATTCATGCTATACAAGTTACTTTCCAATCTATTCCGGTCCTTTCCCTGCCATCGCGTTATGTCCCATTTCATTCGTCCCGTCTGTCCCGTCTGTCCTGTCCATTTTGTTCCAACCCTTCCCGTCCGTCCCATCGTACCATCTCGACCCGTCCCGGTTCGTCCCACCTGTCTTTTTCAATCTTACATGCCATCCCATTCTATCTTATTCTATTCCAACAATGAAATATAATTATTGATTCAGTAGAAGTAGTTAAATTTCGGCGTACAATTTTTGCTTCTGAAAAATTTATATTTTCATGATATTTCAGAATATGTTGCAGAAAGGATCGCCTATGCAGTTCATGCTATGAAAGTTCCATTAGAAGCTGTTTTGTTCCTTTCCATCCCGTCGCGTCAAGTCCTGTACCGTCCGTCCCGTCTGTCCCGTCCATCCTGCCATTCCGTTCCGTCCCTTCTCGTTCATCACGTCCTGTCTTGTTGAGTCCCATTCCGATCCGCCCAATATGTCCGTCCTGTCTTTTTCGCCATCCCATCCCATCTTATTTTACTCTAACAATGAAATACAATTATTGATGTAGCAGAAGTGGTTAAACTCCGGCGTACAATTTTTTGCTTCTGAAAAATGGATATTTTTGTGATATTTCAGAAGATATAGCAAAATAGCTGTCTATGCAATTCAAACTATAAGAGTTCCATTACCTCTGTTTCGTTCCTTTGCAGCCGATCACGTTAAGTCCTATACCACCGTACGTACATAAGTAAACAGAAGTAAATTCACTGCCGTCGGTGTCTTTGACGTTTCGGGTCGAGATTTTATTTTTTGCTGGCATGTGGCGGGGCAGGAGGGTGTTGGCTAAGAGCTGTTGTGCACCTCTGCACGAGGTTTGATCAAAAAATATGTGACCATGATCTGACTTCATCATTGCTACGAGGAGCTCCCAGTAAATGTCTCATATGATTGTGAACTGTTAAGGAATTCATAAAAAATAAGACGAAGTGGTAGAATAAACGTATTATTCATATAGTAAGATTATACAATTCAGGTCAAAAACTCATGCTAATATATTTTAAAGGTTTTTCAGAATGATGAGTTTTTGATTTTTTTTAACATTTGTTTTCTAATTTCTATTGGCAAATTTCAAAGTATGATAAATTCTTACCCTTGTGAAAAGAGAAAATAAATAATCCAAAGGAAAATTATCACAAGGGTGAGGAATGTTGATTTTTGAAAACATTGTTTTGAGCTGGTTGCCTATGCAATCAGTGGCACATAAATTGTTGAAATGATTAAAGAAATTCTGTCTCTAGATGAATGATACATTGTGAAAATGAACCTGGAGGCATATATAAACTTCCAAACTGTTTGGCTACTGTATTACTACTGCTGCTACTGTATATATGCCTTGCTATTACTATATACATTTGTTTCATTCAGTGTGGTACTAGCCGGGGTGGCAAAATTTGTACATACTTGTCATGAATCTTTCCTTAAACATTTTCCCAGAAGATATCCACAAACATAGCCCAAGCTATTGCCTTCTGGAGTGGCTAAAGTTCTATAATCATTTGTCTCTACTCTCAAAGGTTTATAGGGATTTTTTGGAACTTCCACAAGAATCTTCATTCTATTTATGTCTGATGGAAATCGAAAAAAATGAATCCCGACATCATCCTGCCAATTACAACAACCCACAGCTCGACACTTGTTCATTTTGAAACTAGACACAAATTTTCCAGAAATACAAAACCACCACTTACAACGACTCACTCTGTAATAATATTCCATGCCTCAATTTGGCTCGCTTGGTAAACGCCTCAGATTCAATCGGTTGCGCTGTAGTTCGGCCGCGCATAAAATTCGAGGTGGGGAATCTTGACCCAAATATGGCATAGAGTGAACTTACTGGTGTTAACTTCTATACGGTGCCTATACCATTCGTCCCGCCCGTCCCGTCCCTTGTGTCCCTTCGTCCGGTCCATCCTGTCCGTCTCGTCCGTTCCGTCCCTTTTCGTCCATCCCGTCTTGTCCTATCAAGTACCATCCCGTCTTGTCTGACAATAAGATGGAATTATCTATTTTGTATAAGTAAATGAACTAAGGTGAACCATTTCTCACCTCTGAAAAATGAATATCTTGAAGATCTGTTAGGAGATATAGCAAAAAAGAACAGTCTATGTCGTTGAAAGCTATAAGTGTCATATTTCTATCCGTTCCATCCGGTCTCGTTTCGTCAAATCCCATTTTGTCCCATCTCGCCCGTCTCATCCCGTCTTCTCCACTCAATCCCGATTTATTTTATTTTTTTCTCATCTCTGGCATCCCAAATCACCCCGTAAATATAAAAGTACTGACGTAACTAAATTATTCACTACATCTTTTTGATTTCAAGGAGCGAAAAAAAGAACTTGTGGACCATCGCGAAGACTCCACGTTCAGTTTCGACCCGACCAACCTGAACGTGAAAAAGCTGTCGAAACAAAAGATAAAGAAAATCGACGCCCGCAAGGGTGTGCTGCTGTCGTCGTACACGCGGAAAAAGACGAGGCGCAGGAAGAGGAACCGAAGTTCTACGAACGCCGCCAAAACGAACGCGACGGAGAACAACGGCAATAAACAAGAGACCAAAGACTCGAGCTCCAATAAATCGTCACCGAAAAAGAATCCCAAATATTTATTATTAAGGAGTTTTTTCGACACCGTAATATTAATTCGTCAATTACAAAATCAATTCACACAAAAACTTCACCTGTTTTGGCAGAAAAAACTGTATGAAAATTTGCATTTGAAATGAGTATACTAACAATCCTGCACTATTTTGATTTATTTTTGATGATTCATCATTTTTTTTCTCATACGGTGTGGAAGTTATCAATATTAATAAAAATGTAAATAATTCAGTCAGATTAATATATTAGAAACAGCACTATGCATTTCGTTATTCCATTTCATTTCTAATTATTCATCTAATACGTATTCTTCCGCATTCTGCACCAGTGATTTCCATACGAATAATATCATAAACTTGAGGTCTTAATCTCAACACTATGTCGACAACTCTGGTATAATATATTCACAACGAAACACGCTATACCTCTGAAAATACTATACACAGAATTCAATGCCAAACTTTTCGAAAACTCACTGATAAAAACAGCGATGATGGAAATACAGACCATTTCTTTAGCTGCCTGTTCTATGAATCGAAAATTTGAAACGCCTTCCATCCATAACACCAACAAATGAAAACCGAACAAAAGATAAAAGTTGCAGAGCATATTTCTTTGTTTTCTCACCACTTCAATTGCTTCAGAATGCAGCGAGTTCAAGTGGCTTTGTTATGTATGTTGATTTCAGAAATGTTTCCTTGTATTCTGACAGAATAATGCAGTAGAAATGGGGAAAAATGTAGAATTGAACCTTTTGTATGATTAATAGCAGTTTCATAAATATGAAACATATTTGTTTCAGTGGATAGTTTGAAAATCGATGATGAATTGTACTATCAGGTACGAAAAATTTAGAACTTTCGTACTCTAGATTATTAAAAATAATTAATCTCGAAATGCAGAAAAATTGCAAAGAAAACGGTGATTATATAATCCATGAAGAAAAAATTTTGAGAAACGGGCGGTCCGATAATAATAATAATAATATTCATTTGACTACGTTACATAATACAATATGTTTGTAGCAAGTCATGTTTGGCTTTACATTTGAAATTTACATGTTAA